CGCCCCCCGAAAAAAAACCCATGAAATTTAACCAAAACGGCGTCAAATTTCCTACTATGAAAACAATCGACAGATGTATTCGAGAAACATCAAGTTTTAATAAATTAAACTAAAATTAAGTAAAGCGCAACACTTGACAGCTACATTAAAAACCTTAAAATCAACAACCATGCGTGTTTGTAGAAAAACATAATAAAATTTTAAAACTGACATGGCCAAATAAACCCAGGGAAGATGGAGGATATTTACATTATAGGCCTATGTTCCAGGTGTGAACCATTTTTTCTCCAGACAAGCTCGAATATGTTGAATTCTGAATTACCCTGAGGCATGTTTCTGGATCGATTCTTTTTACCTCCTGTTCAACATTGTGTTTCACCTGATCGACTGTTTATGGCTTGTTTGCGTAGACTCCTGTCTTTTTTTTTTCTTTTTTTTTTAGCAAAAACAAAACAAAAACAAAAACAAATGCACAAAAAACAGAGGAAAACATTGCACTTTGAATGGTTCCTTTAATTTTTTAAACCCTGTCTACGGCAATGTCAGTTTTAAATATAAATGAGCGACATTTTGGAGTCAGACGTTCATTCAAAAAAATGAAATCGAGAAAAATCGACTTGGCATTTTTTATCGATTTTTTCCACTGTATACGTCAATTCGAATAAACATTTCTGTTTCTTTGCGGACTTTAGAAAAAATATTTGATTTAACTTTGATGCAAGGCTAAGAGGATGCACATCTGCGGTTTTCAAGGACGTTCAATCTTTGGAAGTCGTCAAATGTTTGTGGAAATTTTTTCGCTAATGTTACCTCTCCAAAAAGGCGACCTCCACCTCCTTCAATTGCAAATATCTCAAATTTAAGATAGATGTTTTTTCGTCAAAAGCAAGACAAATGAACAAGGTTTAAGATGAGAACGAAGCTCCATATGCCCAAAAATTGATTAGCACTTGATCCTACCGTTTTTAGTTTTAGAGGGTTCACTCCCTTTGGCTGAAAATCTAAAAGCTTGGTTATTCTGGAAGACGTCGGCGAATTAATTTTCTTCATAAGAAAGACAAATTTCCTAATATGAAGATAATCAACAGGTGTGTTCAAGAAATATCAAGTTTTAATAAGTTAAACTAAAATAAAGTGAACACTTTACAACTACCTTAAAACCTTTTAAATCACCAAAAATGGTGGGGGGGGGTTTCCAGACAAAGTCCCTTGGTTGTGTTTTATTTGTTGTGGGGTTCTCTTGAAATCGATGCAAAGATGACGGAGGTATCAACCTTAAAATGGGTCCCCATTTTTTAGACTCCCGGTATATGTTAGCCATGTGCATAGGAATGACAACCCTCCCGGGGTGTAATTCGTCGATAATTTATACAATTCGTCGAAGGTTAGCAGCGATAATTGGGGGACAAAATGTCAATAACATTACACATTATGTAAAATTAGGTAAAGTATTCTCTGAAATGCGCGGAGTGTGCAAATTTGTATAGCTTTTGCGGCCCTTGCTAAAGTTAACTTATATAAGAGGCGAGATCTCCGAATTTAACGTCCATCTCCGATGGGACCGAGACAAATGGGAAAATTTGGTGTAAAGTGTCTTTCCCAACACAACTTAGGACTGAGTTGAACCTCGAGCCCCCGACCCCGAAATCTCACGATATCGAGTCCGGTTGGCTTACCACTTGATTACCGACGCAATCTATAAGCTCCATAAAATCTATCAAAATCAAAGACTTAAGGAATGCCCTTCAGATGCATAGACAAGCCCTAAACTTAGTCTTTATCAGCGCTTTAAGCTGAAAGGTCCTAAAAGTTAATACCCGCAAAATTTTAAATTATGTAATTTCAACTGCTGGTTTGCGTTGCTCGTCATAAACTCTCTAACTGGCATCTGTGATGTTGTGGATGGCTCATAGAACGTTGAACGTCAAAGACATAGATCTAGCTTTGATTCCCAAGGGCGGGGATGCATTTTTTTAGTCGTTTGTTGTTAGTTTTTTTCACAGAGTATTTGCCTGCCAGATTGGATATTCTATCCCACTCAACCCAGGTTGATCTTGAAGAACGGGATCGAAGCACCCATTTTTAGTCTAGTTTTTGTCAATGGAGATGTAAATTACTTTCATTTCTTAAAGAGTTATTTCCATGGTCTCTGTTAGCTCTGCAGAACATGAAGAAACAAAAAGACACAAATATAGTAAGACGGACCGGAAAAATGCATCTACTAGACATTCTGTAGATTATTAGATTACGCCTTTCTTGATTCCAAACGTATTGATCGTGTCTCTCCTTTGGAGCGTATCAGAAAAGTCAAGATTTGAAGAGAGGAAAGTAATACTTGGGCAATCTACTTCATTTGTTTCTACGACCCAGACAAAACTGTATTATGCATACTTCTTTAAGAGCGTCTGTCAAGACGCAAAAGACAATATATTCAGTATGTGTGGAAAGGATGGATTATTCATCGAAATAAACCTCTTGAGAATTCAAAATATGTTTCTCGTGCTCAACCCACTTATAGGATTAATTTTTTTTAAATATGAGCAACGTTGTGAAATCAGGTGCTCGTCAAAATAATGAAATCGAAAAAAAACGGCATTTTGCAATATTTGTCGAATTTTTGTTTTTTGGCTCAACGCCTTTTATGTCCATTTCAAAACACATTTATTTGTGAAATTTACTGAATAGTTGTTGGCCAAAGGCACCAAAAAATGCACATTTGCAGTCTCCAATGTTTGTAAAGGCTTGGACGTCACGAATTTTGGCGGCCCTTGTCTTGCTGATTTTACCTCTGAAACCAGATGACCCCTACCTCCTTCAATTGCAGATATCTCCATTTCTATTCAAGACAGATGGGTATTGTTTATTTTCATTTGGAGACAGACAAATGAACCAGCTTTAAGATTATACCAAAAACTCCACATGCCCAAAAATTGACGAGCGGCTCATTCCACCGTGTCGGGACACAAATAATTCCCAGTTCACTCAACGATTTAATCCATTTCGCTCAGCAAATAAGATTTCCTGAACTGATTTTTGCAGACAAAACACAGATGTCCATCAACTGCATTCATATGAATGTGTTTGGTTTTGGTTTGTTTGTTGTTGTTTCTTTGTCTGTTTTGGGGTTCTTCTTGTGTTTTGTGTGTGTGTATGTGTGTGTGTATGTGTGTGTTTGTGTATGTGTGGGTATGTGTGTGTGTGTGTGTGTG